CATAGAGTCTGCTCATGAAATTGGAGAAGACTGTAGCATATGAGTGTCCCCATCCCACTCTGAGAGAATATTTTGAGAAGTCTAATTATATGGTGGGGTTTAGAGGGAAGAGGGTTCTAAGGGCAGGTTGGGAAGCCCTGGCAGTTCCGTGGGGTGAAGGCGCCCTCTGCAGGTGGAGCAGCGTGGTTGCAACCACTGCATTCCCATTGACTTGGGCCTGTGCCCACAGCACAGAGGTCTGCCTAACTGAGATGCTGACCTCCTGGCTATATGTGACTTAGTTAGGGGAGTTGTTGACTCTCCTGAGTCTCAATTGCCTCAACTGTAAAGAAGGACAAAAATCCCTATTCATGAAGGTTGTGATAATTAGAGAGAAAATGTACCCAAAGTGTTCTGCGGAGGGCCTGGTGGGCACGGAGTCCTCCAAAGATGGCAGCTACAAGCAGCAGCAACAATGGCAGCCCTGTCATCATCGTCACTGGCATCTTGAACAATAACAGCAAAGATGACCACCAAGTGCCTTTCCCAGGACAAAAAGAAACCCGAGTGATTGCTCCCGATTCCCTTGACTGACTCAGTCCTCTGGGTGTTGTTTGAGAACAGTCTTAAAATTCTGACATTTTATTTATCATGGATTTTTGCATTTTTACTTTTTTAAAGATTGAATTAAAATATTATTTATCTTAATGACTAGAGTTTTTTAAAATATTTTTATTGATTTCAGAGAGGAAGGGAGAGAGAGAGAGAATCATTGATTGGCTGTCTCCTGCACATCCCACAGTGGGAATCAAGCCTGCAATCTGGTCACATGTCCTGATTGGGAATCAAACCAGGACCTCCTGGTTCATAGGTCAGTGCTCAACCACTGAGCCACGCTAGCTGGGCATGACCGAGTTTTTTGACCCTCTCAACTTTTGTGCACTCACCTTGCCTTAGTCCTGACCCAGATATTAAAGTTGCCTGAATTTTCACGGGGCTCCCTGCTCCCCTCACCAACCACCCCACCCCCAGTCTCTCCTTTCACCTTCTACAAGGGACAGGGACAGCGCATCCTGTGTTTCTATTTATTCCTTCCTTCAACCAACCAACATCTAAGCAGAGCTACTGTGTGCAAAGTCCCAAGCCATCTGTGGAAACAAACACGAATCTGTTCATTCATTGAGCATTTATTGGTCACCTGCTATGTACCAGGCTCTGGGGACACAATAATGAACAAGACAGACATAGGCCAAAACCGGTTTGGCTCAGTGGATAGAGCGTCGGCCTGTGGACTGAAAGGTCCCAGGTTCGATTCCGGTCAGGGGCATGTACCTTGGTTGCAGGCATATCCCCAGTGGGAGATATGCAGGAGGCAGCTGATCGATGTTTCTCTCTCATCAATGTTTCTAACTCTCTATCTCTCTCCCTTCCTCTCTGTAAAAAATCAATAAAATAAAAAAATAAAATAAAAGACAGACATAGTTCTTGACCTCTGGAGTGGGAGATTCAGACAAAAAATCTATAATAATAAAAAGCATAATATGCTAATTACACTGGACATCCTTCTGGACGAAGCCGGGACTGTGAGGGAAGCCCGGGTCCCGGGTGCTAGAGGGAAGCCAGTGCCGGCAGCCGGGGGAAGAAGGGCCTACTCTTGCATGAATTTTGTGCACTGGGCCTCTAGTATATTCATAAGGAACTAAAATTAAACTTGCAGACAGCAATAAGTTCTATGAAGAAAATAAAGTGAATGGGCCATGCCCTCAAAATGCCAGTCTGGGAAGACAGACATGTAAATGGGTGTATGTGCATTGATGGCAGATACAGAAGATGTACTGATGAGAGTGGCAAAGGGGTGCTTTCTTAGGGGAAGAGAAAGTTGGAGCTGAATCCTGAGTGATGGAGAATTGGCCACGTGGAAAAGGAGGAAAGGGCACTCCAGATCCGAGGCCTGGAAATGAGCGAAGGTGTGGAGGTGAGAAATGAGGAGGGAAACAGAACGGGTTTCATCACAAGGAAAGATGAGACGGGAAGGGCGAGGGTGGGCCAGCCCTGGAAATCTTGGAGGCTAAGCTGGGAGTTGGTGGTTGATCGGATGTGGCAGGGGGAGAGTCAAGGACCACACTGGGTTTCTGGCTTAGAGACCGGATAGCTGGTGGAGCCAATAAGAGGAGAGCTAAGCACTCCCAGGCGATATGTACAGTTGGGGGCAGGTGGAGATTCAGAGGCCATTGGGACACCCTGATGGAAGGCAAATGAAATCCTGAATTTTGCATGTAAAGGCCCCCAATCCCATCAGAGGGATTCATTGGAGTGAGGTGGGTTTTTCTCAGAGGCAAATACCACAGGCAGTAAGATCATCTGATATTATCCCCCCTAAATCCAACCCTCCTTAGCCCTCTGGCTGTAAGGAATCCAGCCAGGTTGCCCTAAATCACGAGACACGAGGTATGTAGTTGATTGTATAAACAGCAATGCTTTTTGGTTTTAATTTTTAATTCTGGACTTGATTCCCAGCCTTTTCAGGGAAGAAGGAGCTCCTGAAGCAAGATTCACACCCAAGATTGCTCAGCTTTCCCGCCCAGCCGGTGTGGCGCAGTGGTTGAGCATCGACCCATGTGCCTAAAGGTTTGCTTCCTGGTCAGGGCACATGCTTGGGTTTCAGGCTCCCAGAGGCAGCCCATGGATCATCACTGATGTTTCTATCTCTCCCTCTCCCTTCCTCTCTCTCTAAAAATCAATAAAAACATTTTTTTTAAAAAAGACTGCTCAGCTTTCATTCTCATTTCTCATAAGGAAGTCTGTAAAATGGGGAGGTATTCCAACCTAAAGCGGTTGTTAAGAGGACTGAAGGAGACTTTCTATGCTCACATTTGCAAATGATGAGGTTCAGCATAAACTTAAAGCGTCCAGCAGACTGGTGAAAAGCAATACTTCACTTGCCAGGTAAGTAGTAACAAACAAACACAACCTTGGGCCGTGTCCCCAGGACACCTTGGGAAGATACGTCAGGAGCAGGCCATGCAAACCTCTAAGTCCTTCCGCAGCTGTGCCTTTCTGAAATCCCAAAGTTCAGGGCGGAGGTGCAGCTGCCCAGGAATGTATTCCTCCATAACTCTGAGCTCCCCAAATCCCCATGAAGCCCAGGAATGATGTGACTGGAGGGTGTGTGGGCCCATTGGCACCCAGTGCCTCTTCATAAATCAAGATCTCCATTCTGCTGGCCTCGGGCTGTTTTTTTCCAAGGTGACCTAAGCAAAGTGAAAGGGTGGCCACTTATCTAGGAGTGGCACCTGGCTTTGAGATGAAAGAACCCTGAAAATGCCAAGAGGACCAATTCTCTAGAAATATGTCCCTTGGAGAAAGAAAACACTCTTCGTTCGTCTCAGAAGGTAATTCAGCCAGAAATTAGAAGGAGAGTGACAGTGTTCCCGTGATTTCTGCCAACTTGGGTGACCCAACAGGCCCCGTGGGGCAGACTCGGGGGAGCCCTGTTCCAGAGCTGGGTCAGCCCCAGTGAAAAGTCAAGGTGACCTCAGCCCTGTCACCAGCCACACCCCCACAGCAGCCCCCCAAGGCAGCCATGTGAATCACAGAACCTTACATCAGCCGGCCGCACAGCCTGATGATACAGGCAAGGAAACTATAGGCCCGAGATGGGGAGGAACTTGTCCAAGGTCGCCAGCCTTGGGGGGAAGGTTCAAGGTTAGACCCAGGGCACCAGGCTATTTCTCATGGCCTCCTACACATCTCCTTCATGAAGCCACATGGCAATGTAGCTGGGTTCCAGCCCAAGACCTCAGAAACTCAGCCCCACCCAACCAATTTGTCTGACCATCTTAATTTCTCCAGTAGCATCTAAATGAGTGTGAAAACCAAAGAATATAACATATGACATATAACATATGTCAAAAACAAGTGGGCAGAGAAGGAAAAACATCATTATTGAAAAACACAGGTACCTGCAAAGTCAATTACCTACATCAATGCCTGAGGACACTGAAGAGACCAACTGACTTGGAGGACTGAGGCCACCAAGGTAATCAAGCCCCAGGAGTGAGCCAACCTCCACGCTGACCCATAGAAGAGTCTGAAAAAAGCAGCTGAGACAACTAAAATGGAGACAAACACACAACTCTCTCACAAGATTGTTGTGGGATTAAGTAAGATGATGGATCGTAATGTTTACATACAGTAATTGTTCAAGAAATGGTGTCTGATGCTAAGTGGCTAACTAAGCCACCAAGGGCTGGGTTCCCTTCTCACCCTACTCTACAGAAGGAGTGTATTGTAATTGTCCAGTTACTTGCCTATTAGTAAATCCAGTGAGGGCAGTAACTATAGCATCCCAGCTCCTGGCACATAGATTATTCCATACATTTTTAATGTGTGTGTTTTTTTCATTGATTTGAGAGAGAGAGGAAGGCAAAAGGACAGAGATAGAAATATCAATGAGAGAAACATCTACATCAATCAGCACGCCCCCTACTGGGGAATGAGCCCACATCCCAGGCATGTGCCCTGACCAGGAATCGAACCAGTGACCTTTTGGTGCATGGATAGACATTCAACCACTGAGCACACCGGCTGGGCCTCCATACATATTTTTTAATGAATGGATAACACCTTTGTCTGTCTTCTTTGAAATCCCTTGGGTTCATTCAGCAACCCTCCCGATTTGTCTGGGAATGAGGGGTTTCTCTGGGCACGGGACTCGGGATTCGGTGCTGAAACCTGGACAGTCTCGGGCAAACCGCTCTGTGTCTGACAATGTCTGACTAAACCCACTAAGCGACAGAGATGAATGATAGAACTGAGAAATTTTCAGAAAGAAAGGGCTTAACAACCGGACAGAACTCGGACCGGATGGCCCCGCCCCCTCATGGCCTTAACCCCACCCCTTCTACCGCCAGCCCTCTCTGACTCCGCCCCCTTCTGGGAAGGTCACCTTAAAAACGCGGGGGAGCAACTGGGCATGCGCCGGGCATTCCGCTACTGCGCATGCTCGCCTCCGCCTTCTCGGCCTTCCCTCCCCCACCCGGGGAACCGGAAGTCGCCTTCCTCTCTGCGGCTCGGAGGAGTCTAGCGGATCCCGGGTGGACTTTGGCCCGGCGCCGCGGTGCTCGGCGGGACGCGGGCGGAGAGCGACCTCGGGGTTAAGGGGTGGGGCCCGCCGTTAGAAGCCAAGATGGCAGCGGTGGCCAGAGTGTCCTTGAGGCGCCGGTTCCCGGCCGCGGCCCTCGGCGGAGCCTGCCTGCAGGTGAGCTCCGGGGGCGCAGGGAAAGGGCGGGCGCGAAGGGCTGGAGCCGGCCTGGGGCTGCGGGGGAGGCCGAGGGGTCACCGCGGGCTTCGGGGAGGGGAGGGCCGCTCCCACCTGCGCGGTGCTCTGATTTATCCCTGTCAAGCTGCTGCACCTGTCGCAGCCTGCGAGTGGTTGAGGACGAATCCGATTTTTGGAAATAAGTTCAGAGAAGGGACTTGAACCGCCCAAGGTCACATGGCAAGTGCGTGACTGATGGAAGCAGAACGCGATCCCAAACATCTGGGCTTCCAGCCCGTTTTCCGTCGCTGAACTGTCTCCTCTGCGGGGTGGGAGGAGTGGGGACCGGGGCGCCAGGTCCCTCCTGCGGGACGCGAGGCGGGGGGCTCAGGAAAGAGGTCTGGACGGGGGTCGGAAAGGACAGGGCAAGTGAATCCTTGGGGACAGAGAGGGGAGAGGAGACTGGAGGGAAGTCCAGCCCCTCGAGGACCCGGACCCTTGCCTATGGGGCTGCGGGCCGGACTTGGTTCCGTACAGCAGGTCCCGCTCGGCGCCCCGCCTGTGAAGGGCGCACAGCAGTACCGACCTCGCAGAGGCTGGGCGGGATTCTGTTCCGTGTGCCGGTCTCCCCGGCCTCTTGTGTTGTCAGGAAGCTGCATCCTTCTGGTCTGCATCCTAAACGGGAATATGCAGGAGGGGAAGGGAAACTTCCATTGCACGCCTAAGGGACTAAGGATTTGCAAATCCGTTCCAAGCCTGCCACCACCTCTGGGCTCCTCAGCCAGCCCTGTTAAGGTGGCGAGCAGGGATTCTCACCTCCTTTCGAGAGGTTTGAAAACGGAGGCATCAGGAAGAAAATGTGTTGCTTGCTCAAATGTTGGGGTCCAGCCCCAACAGGTCCAGGGGTTCCCAAAGGTGTGGACCGAGTCGGCAAAGAAGGAATGACACGGAGGCAGCGTTCAGTTGATCAGCATAGTTGGGTTCTCTTGCCAGGTTCTACAGCCAGGTTCTCTCTAGCTAGGTTCTGTCTTTATTGTCCTGTTACCTCTGTATTTATACCAGTTGATTTTAATCCTATCCATTCTATTCCAAAGGTTAGGGCGTTTGTTATCTCCATTCCAAAGTCACTACTCTATTGTTCTGTTAAGCTACAAGGAAGTAACTGAAGGAGATTATTATCCTAAGTATTGTTCGTAGTTAAAGTGATTAATTACCCACCTGGCACTTAGCTAAGGGGTTTTATTCCCTTCCTTAGTCCTGTTAATCCCTAACTCCAGGGAAAAATCCCACCTGGGGAAACAACCTTTCTCGGAGAGGTGACCTTGGTTAAAACACATAGCGCTAAGAAGGGGGAGCAAACATATTAAGAACAGTATGCCATATACGCCAGGTCCCTTGAGACATATGCTGTGCAGATGTTTCTTCCCTGCAGCGACTGTGTCAAGCAGCAAGGATGGACCGGCTTCCGGCACTCAAAATGTCATGGCCAAGAATTGGCAGGTCCAGATCTAAATCCAGTTTTGTTGTTGTTGTTGTTGTTGTTTACATCATAATGTGAGGACCTCCTAGCACAGATCTGGGCACGTGGTTGTTGCCCGGGGACTATCTGTTCCTGTCCTCTGCCTTTCTTGCACTCAGATGAGAATATCTCTCGTTTCAAGCACCTGCTCCGGCTGCATAACACCATGCACACGGCCTGTTTCTAATGCTGGCTCTTCCCAGTGTGCTGCCGGGGGACTTGCACACGTTCCTTTTATAACTGAGAAGGGGAAATAGGAAAGAGGACTGCGGACCAGAGCTGGTGTCTTCTGAGCATTAAATTGATGGCTGGTAATGGCCTTGTTTACCAGTCCCTTTCATCACCGTTGAGCAAGCAGGCGGTGAGAGCCCCACCAATGAGAGTGAGTTGTACAGCTCGTCCCTCTCCCAAGAGCGCAGTGTAGAGAGGGCTAGTTTCACAGGTCAGTGTCGTCATTCCCGGTGAGGCCGTTGTAGGGCCTCCTGAGGGCAGGAAAACAGAAGGGTCGCCCCCCCTCCCCCTTGTAGGAATGTGCGTTCATATCCGCAAAAGCCACTGCAAAAGAATTCAGTAGTGAATGCGGTGTTGCCGGTGGGTGATATTCAGGCTCGTAGGACTCTAGGACACAGTGTGGTTTCTCATCTGAATTCCTTTCGTGCACTAGTCTGCCCCGCTGAACCACCGTTAGGCCTGTAAGAATCGGTTCTCTGTGTTGCCTTATTTCTTCATCCAGACGATGAACTCCTTCAGGGCAAGTACCACCTACTTTCAGGTGTGTATCTCATTGCTCCTGGCACTGCAGAGCTTCGGATACCTACCTGCCAATCAGATTAGTACAAAAACTGATAATGTTGCCAATATTGGAAAGTAGAGATCATTTTCTGGACTATACTAGAGCTTGACCCCTCCAGTTAATCTTATGAGGTAGATTTTAGGAATCCCTACGCTTTTACAAAAGAGGAAATGAAATCAGAGAGGTTAACTAATATGCCAGTGAACACACAGCTTCTGGCCCTGGCCGGGTAGCTCAGTTGGTTGGAGTGTCATCCCAGTGCGCCAGGGTTACAGGTTCGATCTCCAAGCGGGACACATAGGGAAATCAACTGGTGAATGCATGGGTAGGGGAAAAGCAAGGGAAAAGCAAGTTAATGTTTCTCTCTCTCTCTCTCTAATCAGTAAAATTAAAATAAAAAAAAATACAGATTTGAACCTGGCCACACATTTCTGAAACTTTGCACACATCTCCCTTCATCTCAGAAGCAAGGCTTAGGTTTTACTCAGGTTTACACAGATCTGCCCTCCTCCTCTCCATTTGCGCACCTTTCTCCTATCTCCAAATCTCAATCTGCTCTAACTAGTTCCAAGCCTGCTCCTTGAGGAATCTCCTAAAGTAGTGGTTCTCAACCTTCTGGCCCTTTAAAAAAGTTCCTCATGTTGTGACCCAACCATAAAATTATTTTCGTTGCTACTTCATAACTGTAATGTTGCTACTGTTATGAATCGTAATGTAAATATCTGATATGCAGGATGGTCTTAGGTGACCCCTGTGAAAGGGTCGTTCCACCACCAAAGGAGTCTCGACCCACAGGTTGAGAACCGCTGTCCTAGAGGAATAGCAAGCAGCCTTCAGCATGAATCAGAATTCACTCTTCTCAGTTTGGTTCAGTCCACTTGTTATCTTCCTTCCTTAAACGATAAACTATGAAGTTAATTTTTTCCAAGGTACACTCAGCCTCGAGTACTCATTAGTATTGTAGATTGAAGGAGAGGTGCTTTTTAAAAAAATATTTTTTTATTGATTTCAGATAGGAAGAGAGAGATCAATGGTGAGAGACAGTTATTGATCGGCTACCTACTGGGAATTGAGTCTGCAACCCAGACGTGTGCCCTGACCAGGAATTGAACCGTGACCTCCTGGTTCATAAATTGACGCTTAACCACTGAGTCATAAAGTAGAAATGCTTTTGAAAAACCCTCCTCTGTCATGGGTTTGTAGTAAATTGCTTGATAAGCAAGGGGAAAACCTCCCTGCTTTTGCTCATATAGTCTCCTTTCCTTCCTGTTACTGTGGGAGAATTGGCAGTTCTCCCTTCACTCGTCCTCTGCATCCCACCACTCGTTCAAAGATAGCTGTCCACGTGGGCTCGCACACTGAGGGGTCTCCAGTGCAATTCCCGGTCAGAGGCATGTACTCAGTTACAGGCTCAATCCCCGGCCCCCGTCGGGGCACATGCAGGAGGCAGCCGATCAATGATTCTCTCTCATCATTGATGTCTGTCTGTCTGTCTGTCTCTCTCTCTCTCTCTCTCCATCTCTGAAAAAAATTTTTTTAATTGTAGAATTGCCCTTGCCTGTGTGGTTCAGTTGGTTGGAACATTGTCCCAAACACCAAAAGGTGGCGGGTTGTTCCTCAGTCAGGGCGTGAACAGGAAGCAAACGATGTAAAAAAGAGAAATCAGTAAAAGCGAAAGATAGAAATTGTAGCCAGGATCTCCTTCCCCCTCCTTTTTTCTCTCCATAACACTTACCACCGTTGGACATACTAGAGATTTTATGTGTGTGTCTCCTCCATTCATTGTGGAAGCTCCATGAGGGTGGAGATGTATGTCTGTTTTGTCCTTGACCCCAGGCCTAGAACAGTCCCTGGAACATAGTAGCCACTCCATGATTATTTATTGAACAGATAAGTGAATGAGTATGTCTAGAGCATCTACCACCAAGATCTTGCTGATTGTATGGCTTCTATTGTTTTGGGATCTGTTTGGGAAAAGAAATTCTCTCTTTGTGTTGTTCTGTTTGGGATTTGCATTTTACTACTCTCTCTAAGCATGTCCTCGATGAGGATTTTTTTTTTTTTATCTTTTTTTTTTTTGTCAGGCCAGCAAAAAATATAAGGTAATTTTGTCTTGGCATTCCATGAGATGAAAAGGTTGAAAATCACTGACTTAGTACAATGTCTGACACATGATAAGGGTTCAGTGAGTGAGAGCTATTGTTATTATTTCTAAATTTACTATGAACACCTAGAGAACAAATGTTTAGATTTCTCTATTCAGATAATTTTTTTTAACTCACAGCTGCCATAATGCTGTGGATTAACTTTAGTTCAGCCCTCAAGATGAGCAAAACTCCATCACTTTTAGACCCACAGCCTCCTCTGGTCGTTTTGATTCTCAAATCTCCTCTCCTCGTTCCTGTTAACTTCCCCTCACCCCTCCAAGTGTTGTAGAAAATAGGTTTTTAACTCAAAATGAATTTAAATTAGTTGTTTTGAAAAAATAGTGATACTTTGGGGTACCCCAAAACTTACCTTGGGGTTTACTGCTTATGATACTCTGTTGGGATGCATCCTTGCATGGCTTTTGTCTCACATTCATTTGAGAAGAACTTTTTTAATGGTTTCTAAATAACCTAACCTCTTTGGGGAAAATCTTCGTGGTCCAGTCGAGACCTTTGTAGAGTGAATATAAAGCGGACATTTGAGTATTAGAGAGAGGTGTTAAGTTGGGATGCAGTGCAGGTAACCGTGGTCTTTGACAGGCCTTGTGAGAGTGAACCCAAACTGGATCAAACCAGATGCCTATTGCCCACTGGTAATACTATTACATCAGGCTTTAGAACCATAGCTGACAACCCCAAATTCCCAGGTTAAAAACTTTTTAATTTATATTTTTTAAAAGGCATTTTGTCCCTTTCCTCCTACCACCTACCTTAGCACAGTGACCACCCACTGGAAACAGTTTGACAGTTTCTTAAAAAAAAATAAATAAATAAACATGCAGCCCTAACTGGTTTGGCTCAGTGGATAGAGCGTCAGCCTGCGGACTGAAGGGTCCCAGGTTCAATTCCAGTCAAGGGCATGTACCTTGGTTGTGGGCACATCCCCAGTAGGGGGTGTGCAGGAAGCAGATGATCGATGTTTCTAAGTCTATCCCTCTCCCTTCCTCTCTGTAAAAAATCAATAAAATATATTTAAAAAATAAAAATAAACATGCAACTACCATATAGCCCAGCAGTTACACTCCTGGACATTTGTTCCAGAGAAATTGAGAATTAACGCTCACACAGAAACCTATTCACAAATGTTCATTACAGCTTTATTCATGATGGACAAAAACTGGAGACAGTGGAGATGTCCTTCAGTGGATGGATGGCTAAACAAACCGTGGTTCGTCGTACCATGGACCATACTCAGTAATAAAATGAAACAACTATTGAGGCACACACAGCTAGGCTGAATCTTCAGAGGATTAATGCTGGACGAAAAAAAAAGCCAATCCCAAAAGGTTGCATACTAGACGATTGCATTTCTATGACATTCTTGAAATGACAAAATTATAGAAATGGGAACAGATTCTGATTGCCAGGGTTAGGAATAAGGGAGAGAGGCATGGGGGCCGTGGGTGTGGCTGTATAAGAGCAACACTAGGGATCTTTGTGGTGATGGAAATGTTTTGTGTCTTGACTGTATGGTTGTGATATTGTGCTGTAGTTTTGTACAATGTTACTATTGGGGGAAATTGAGTAAAGGGTTTGTGGGATCTCAGTATTTCTTATAAATTCATATGATTCTACAATTATTTCAAAATGGAAAGCATTAACTTTTTGAAAAAGCAACAGACTGGATATACTCAACAACATGGATGAATCAGAAGCATTACGTTAAGTGAAAGAAGCTAGACACAGATGTTCTCTCTGATTGCATTTATATGAAATTTTATAATTTTCACATAAATCTGAGGTGATAAAAAGCAGGGCAGTTGCAAGGGGAAAGGAGAGGCGCTGATTGTAAAAGAACCTGGAGGACTTTCTGGATGGAAATGTTCTATCACATTGTGGTAGTTGTTCCACTTTATGAAAACTCATCCAATTAATCATGTGCCCACATCATGTTTAGATCAATGACACCCTGCATGTACGACAGTGGTCCCATGGGATTATAATGGAACTCAATTTCTGGTAAGAAATGAAGGCTATGTGGTTCAGGGGGATTTTTCTCTGATGGGAGCAGTGTCTGGAGCTTGGCAGTAGACTCCCTCTTGCTCACAGCACCTCAATTCTGAGCGCACAGATTGCACCCCAGTCCCTCAGCCACTGACCTGTTTCCTCCCAGAGGAGCCCGTCCCCCAGCGCTGCATGTTCAGAGGGCGCTGCAGCCCCCAGGCCTGGCTGATGGGCTTCAGAGGACCCGGCTGTGGGTGCTCTGTTGAGGACCTCAGGTCCTGTACACGGACTCAGGCCCACGGGAGCACCTTAACCAGTATGAAGTGCCACGGCCACTCCAGTGAGAGTTTTCCCTTTCCCTGTGGGGCCAGCCTGTCCCTGGACGTTGGAAACATTGTCAGGTTGTAATGGTGTAAAGCAGAGATAGTTTTATTTCCTCCATCAACTCAGTACCAGAGAGAGCCTTTTATGCCAGATAGGGCCAGTGGAACCCAAAACAAATTTCCAAAGTCAAAACAGTGAGTTTTGAGTCCTACACTCTCTTCATGATAACACCCTCTTTTTCCGGAACCACCACAAAGTTCCTTGATCTGACCACTGCTCCGACAGGCAATAGCCACCCACGTGGCCATGACAGTCCCTGTGTTCCTTATCCTTCGTCCTGGTTTCTCATTCCTGCTGACCCTCAGGCCACCGTCAGTCCCTCCTGACAGTCACTGTTACGGTGATCGGCGTCTCACCCAGCCAGTTTCTCCTCGATATTCCCACCCAGCCCACATCCCTGCTCATGGGGCAGCGTTGACAGCTCTGTGTTCTCTGACCCTGTCGGAAGGAGCAGGGGGAGGACTTGTGGGACAGAGTGATAAAGTCTGCAGTGTGTCCAGTAATGCCCAGGCCTTCCCCCTCACTCACTGACTCTCCGGCATCTTTCAGTCCTGCAGGCTCCAGTCATGGTCAGTGCCCTGTACAAGTATATGTTTTTTTTAAAAAAAATTAATATATTTTTATTGATTTCAGAGAGGAAGAGAGAGAGAGATAGAAACATCAATGATGAGAGAGAATCATTGACTGGCCTCCTCCTGCACATCCCCTACTGGGGATCGAGCCTGCAACCCAGGCATGTGCCCTTGGCTGGACTTGAACCTGGTACCCTTCAGTCCACAGGCCAGCACTGTACTTTTACTGTACCTTTTCGTGTTTAGTTATGCTTGGATACACAGATACCATTGCTACATGGCCTGCAGTATTCAGTACAGGAACCTGCTGTTCAGGCTGTAGCCTGCAGTATTCAGACCAGGAACCTGCTGTACAGGCTGTAGCCTAGGATCAGTAGGCGGCACCTTACGGCCTAGGTGTGGAGTGGGCTGCACCATCCAGGTTTGTGTCAGTGCCTCTGTGATGTTCGCACAAAGATGCATTTTTGCCTAACGATCATTTCTCAGAATGTACCCATCATTAAGTGGCGCCTGACTGTATGTAATGAATTATACCTCCTTAAATCTCACCCAAACAAAAACACTGGTGGGCACTAACTAAGCAGCAAAAGCTGCTGGAGCAATCTTCAGGAATCCTTTCTTTTCACTTCCTCTTCACTACCACAAGGTGGCGGTAGCCACATGTTCCTGTCCATTTACAAAATGGAGTCCCTGGTGGAAAATGTTCGTTTGTAAAAACGACTTTCCTTTTATTAATGATCTAGCCAGCTTGGTAACAAGGTAAAATACAGCTTTCCTCTTCACTTCCACTTTCTTCATACACTTTCTTTCCTACTGAAAGCTGATATTTTTCTTTTCAGCTTCACGTAATTTGGGGCACTTTTTGCCAGCAAGTTAATGAACAGCATTACTTTCTTGTAATTACTCAGTTAACCTTCAGAGTTTTTACTTTCTTTAACAATTATAAGCTATTTAGCTAGCTGGGAATACAGTCTGAATTTTCTATATAAAAACTGAGGGCTCACCTTGTACTTGCTATTTGGACTGACAGGATCCCCCTCCCCGTCACCATAGTAGAAGCTCAGAGGACTTGGTGTGGTCTCTGCCTAAATGGAAAAGGGCTGCAAGGATTGTGGGATGGGGAGGGCTTAGCCGTTGACTTAGGGTGTTTCTTTATTTTTACTGGTTTGATATAGGTTGCACTGATCAGCCTTTTAAGGTGCATTTAAAATAAAACACACTTTTACATTAGTATAACACTCAGTTTTGCTCTTTTCTTCAATCTTTCCTAACCATGGATTGAGCTGCTGTATGCAAAGGCCTGGACCAGGGATGCTGGGCGGTGTAAAACAGCCTGTCCCATGCTGTGACCGTTCATCTACTGGGCCCTGGGGTGCCCAGATAGCTGGTCAGAGTTATCCTGGTGTTTCTGTGCGGGTGTTTTGGGGTGAGTTTAACATTCACGTTGAAAAGCAGTGATGCAGATTGCCTGCCGTAATGTGGGTGACCCATATCCAGTCAGTTGAAAGACTGATTAGAACAAATTCCCTCTTATTCCTTCAGATGAGAAGGAATTCCTCCTGTCTGACTGCTGTCAAACTGACATCGGGGTTTTTCCTGTCTTTGGACTCAGACTGAAACATCAAGTCTCCCTGGGTCTAAGCCTGCCGGCATCGGCCTAGAACTGTCATCCGCTCTCCTGGGTCTCCCAGCGCACTGACTACAGATCTTGGGACTTGTCACCTCCATAATCACATGGGCCAATTCCTTATTATAAACCTATTTTTATATCTGTATAAGTGCACATATATGTATGTATATGTGCGCATATACGTATATCACACATATATGCACACTGCTGGTTCTATTTCTCTGGAGAACACTAATACACATGCCCTGAGGGAGTTTAGGACATAAAGAGAAGACAGCACCAAGAAGAGACCAGGGAATATTCACAAATAAATAGAATAGTACAGTGTTTAGGAATATGGATTGTGGTGTCAGACAGATAGACCTGGATTCCAATTCTGGCCCCACTCAGCTCTGTAAATGTGGGCCCATAACTTGGTCTCTTTTTCCTCATCTTTAAAATGCAGATTCAGTGGAATACTTCATGTAAAACACTTAATACAGTACCTGGCAATAATAAATAGTGACTTTTAAAATGAGTATGAATTGGCATGTCTAGCATATGAGACATGCTTAGTATTTGTTGACTATTGGATGACCGCCTTCCCCAAGAAGGCTGTCAGTAATGTGCGGGTTTGTATCCAGTATTGCAGTTTATAGTGCAGCTAAGTGGAAGGATTTACCTTGCATTTTAAAGAATTTATTTTTCGTTCTTGTGAACTTTTTAAATTTCAGGCCTGCCGAGGGGCCCAGACAGCTGCTGCCACCGCTCCCCGAATCAAGAAATTTGCCATCTACCGATGGGATCCAGACAAAACTGGAGATAAACCTCGTATGCAAACTTATGAAATTGATTTGAATAAGTGAGTATCTCGATGAAAGCTGGGTATTGGGTAAGTGAAGGTGAGCTCTTCATCTGATTCAGGGACATGCTTTTCACACCCTTGGAAGGTTTAAAACTAAGGCCATCCAGTGGCTCTGGAGTTTATCATCTCTTTAAAACAAGAATGAGAGGAAATATAAATAATAATTTTTTTAAAAGGAGAAGAAGAAAAGGAACAAAAAACAAATACAACAAGAATGATGTGGGTGCCTGAATAACTTTATAAAATTCTTTTTCTTCCCCCAAACCAAAGCATGACCCATTTCTAGGAATCATGGTAGAGTTGGCTGTATGCATAGTGTTTTAAGTCATTTAACACATTATCAATTTTAGAATGCTGAATGTTTTCATGTTGATTGTATGTATCTGGACTATGTATTATATAATAATGATAAACACCATAAGCCTGGCTGGAATGGTGTGGTTGAGTTCACTGGGACACCCAACTGATGTTGCAGAATTGCTTAGTATGGGGAAAACACCCACATGTTTGGTGATGAGAAATGAAGTATTGGAAGCGAGTAATCCTAGAGAAAAACGTAAGAGTTTTCCCTTTATAAGAAGAAAGCTCAGATCTTTAAAAACAATTTCCCAGGACCTCAGTAGACAGAGTCAAAGAACATGCACAGACTGAGTCCACTAGAATCAGTCCAGCAGAGTGACCCTCCATGGGCAGGAAGTTTCATCTGTTTTGTTCTCTGGTGTATCTCCAGCACCTAGAACGGAACCTGGCACACAGAAGACTTGCAATGAATAATTGGTGAGTGAAGAAAAATTAATGTATTTATGACAAATACTCAACCATTGTAGTTAGCATTCAAAGCTCTCAAACACTGAGAATAGCAGAGGTTTTTAAAGGTTACATTTCCCAGTGTTGACAAAAGTACAGTGAAAAGGGTGTTTGCATGTTGCTGATAGAAATACGGATAATGCAAAATGTTAACTAACCTTATTGTGCTAATCATTTCACGGTATATACATATATCAAATTGTCACGTCATACACCCTAAATTTACACAGTGTTACGTTTGATTTATCTCCATAAAGCTGGGGAAAAGGAAATACAGGTGATGCTAAAGGGTATTTGGGGAGGGGGCATATTTTTTAAATCCCATGCATAGAGAAATACTGAGAGGAATCAAGTGGCAACCAGGCAATAAGATTTGTTGAGCACTTCTGTGTACTCAACATAAAAATTGCATGTTTTTATTTAATCTTCATTACAGTCTTGTGATACAATATTAATTCCATTTTACAGATAAACTGAGGCTCAGACAGGCAGCCATTTTCATAGAAGCACAGATTCTGCATGAGGATAATTGTTAAACTAAATGTTTGTGGCAGGCAGTGTTCTCCTTGTTTCTTTCCTCGTGTATTCATTCACCAGCAGTCCTGTGAGATGTAGGTGTTGCTCTCTGGGCATCATAGACAGGAAGCTGATTGATTTGCCTGTAACCTAGTAAGTGTCCAAGGCAGGATTCAGACCAGGCTCTCGAATGCCAGGCCTGCACTCTGGATCCCAAAGCCAGGGCTGCTGCCCTTTTTTTTTTTTAACATTTTTTTATTGATTTCAGAGAGTAAGGGGGAGAGAGAGAAAGAAACATCAATGATGAGAGAGTATCATTGATTGGCTGCCTCCTGCATGCCCCACACTGGGGATCGAGCCCTCAACCTCGGCATGTGCCCTGACTGCGAATCAAACCGTGACCTCCTGGTTCATAGGTTGATGCTCAACCACTGAGCCACACCGGCCGGGCAGGGGTTGCTGCCCTTATACCTTTCACTGCACCCATGCACGTGGAACACTCAGTGCTTGAGATTAGGGGACTGTGAGTGATTTATCTTTTATTCTCTCCCATGTTTTTGTGGTGGTTGTGCATTATTATTATTATTAATGAACCGTTTAAAGCTACTTATTGTTTGGATTTGAAATTTTTAAATTTGAAATAAACTATTTGGGAAAGCTTTGCAAGGAGCTTTAGAAGAAAAAAGAAAAACTGCCAGTACGTGGAAGTTGTTTTCTAACCTAAATATTTTCAGCATTCCATTTTCTAGAAATGTATATTCAATGTGATCACCAAAATAGAACTCTGCGGTACTCCAAATGTGTAAGAATGTGCAAAATTAAAATGGGGAAATTCTGTAAGTGCCCCGCGAAGGCCAAGTGGGTAATAAAAGCAGCTGGTATAGGCAGATGTCTCATCTTATGATAAAAGTGTAGGGAGAGTGCGCTTCACTTAAATATAACTGCATTCTTTTATTCTTGTTTTGGTTTTGGTCAGATGTGGTCCTATGGTGTTGGATGCTTTAATCAAGATTAAGAATGAAATGGATTCTACCTTGACGTTCCGAAGATCTTGCAGGGAAGGTAAGCACTTCCTTCCCTGGTAGGCCCCGCATACTTACGTTCTGGTTCCCGAAGGGCTGGCCAGAGCTGACAGAAATACCTAGAGAACAGCTGCAGGGCTCTGCCAGCTGACCTGGCTGTGCTTTGCACTTCCTTTTCTTGGGTAAAGGGGTCGGAAATTTTAACTGGCACAAGTTCTGGTTTCTGAGTTTGCTTCCCTTCAAGAGCTTTCTGTCGCGTGGTTGCTGCATCTGGCGACCCCTGACAGCTGCTGCTGCCTTGAGGACTAGCTCGGTATGCTAGCGGGCTGCCTCTGCTCTGCTGGGCTCATGTATTAGGGGGCAGTAGAGAAAGTCTAACTGGGCTTATGCGCACGTAACATTTGTCCAACAGGGAGGCGTGTG